GGCGGGCGCCGAGCCCAGGTGAGTGCACTGCCGGCGCCCAGCCTTCGCGCCGCAGGTATCGGACAGCGGGAGGTGGCTTTGTTTTCCTCGCTCGCGCCCCGGAGCGGTCATTCATTTGACATTCTGCTTCCGCTGCCTTGAAACCCGGGTGAGAGGCACCGGGACGTGTCTGATGGTTTGCTTATCCCGAGAAGCTGGGACTTTTGGGTTTATTTGAGCATCACTCAAGGGACAGGAGGCTTCATTTCCTTTTTGGTCTGGAATGTGTTGTGAACATCCTCTGTTGGAGCTTGGGGCCTGGAGAAAACCGGGGCTGCAGATTTAGACGTAGACGTTTCGGAGGACGTGCAACTGCAGAGGTCTGACTCTTTCATGCCTTGTCTTCTCCATTAGCAGTGCTTAGCTGCTTTTCGTTCATTGTGATTAATTTTAGGAACATCTGTGTAGACGCATTTATTTCATTTCGACTTGGAAGTCATAGAGTCATCACAGCTCACAAATAGAGTTGTAGCATTCGGTCAATATTAAACTTGGAGAAGGAAAACATCGTGATCATTATATAGACTGAGCTGGACGGCAGGCAAACTTCACCCGGGCCTTTAACCTTCCTGAATAAGATTTCTGCTTTCGATGTCCTAGAGTTATGCACACTCTTGAGTTCTCATAGAACGTATACCTTTGTCAAAGTGTAAAACTTGTCTTTTCTTGAATAGTTTCTATAGTTTGTCATTTAGAAGAAAAAAAATATTTCAGAATAATCAACAGAGTCTTCTATTAGACTTGGTGAAATTTGGTGTATTATTTTAAATATGATTTTCTTTTTACTAATTCTCCTATTCCCTCAAGGGCTCATTTCTTCTGTTGCCTAGAGAGAGCCTCTCTCTCTCTTCTCCAAACAGATGGCTGTACGTTCCAAGAGGCTATCTTTAAAATGACACATTACCTACAAACAAAGAAAGCTCTTAAGTTTGTCTTTGGAGTTATTAAAGCAAGAGACCTGATCTGGATGGTGATATTATTAATGGTGTGAAAATCTGGAGCTTGCTAATCTGTTTGGTCATCAGAAGATTCCTGCAGAGATTGTTTATATAGTGTGGGAGACAGATGGCATCCCTAGCAGACAAGAGAAGCCAGGCATAAAGGGTCATTGTATTCTTCAGAAATTATCTACTTCACTGTTGGGAGGTGGGGTAGAATGGGATGGAAGATGAGAAAGAGATAATTTTGATCTCTCAAAGGAAACATTAATAACTTCACTATCCAGCAGCCTGAACAGTTATTCATTTTTTCTTTCTTTGAAGGTTTACAAAGTCATCATTGAGCTATTTGTTTTGATTATTACATTAGCACATTTTCGTCTTAATTGTGGTTATGTGAAACAGTATAAATAGACTAGCAAAAATGCTTTTGAACTTAAAAGTATCCTAACACTCTTGGGGATAACCAGTCATAGTTCTTGTACATAACGGCCCTTGGACTCATAGCATTTACTAGCGGGAAGAACTTTAATCTGCATTAGTTTGAACGCAGTTTCCTTTACCTACTCTATGACAGGTGGATCCCTAACCCCTACCTTTTGCCCCTAGACTGTCAGTTATAGGCAGAACCCTGTTTCTATGATGATTGATCAGCCTCAGACATTTGGCTTACCATTGCCTCCATCACAGTTTGGGGGATCTTTTGGCAGTGAATCTTTATGAAGGACTGTGATGTCAGTGAGGAAATCAAAGTCATTCTGAACATTTGAGAGTCACCTGGAGGTTTTCTGTTCCTACCACCACCGTAGATTATTTATGCGCTATAGATTGCAACTAGATCATAAAATTGGTTTTCCCTCTTTGTGAATGCAAGGGAGAAGATTTCAGTAAATTTATATTCACCAGCCACAGAACTAAATTTAATGAACATGAGTAGCGTTTCACCGCTCTGAACAGGAGGCATGGAATAGAAGCAAGCGTTGGTATTTTTCAATGTGATTTTGGGAGAAAAACATACTTTCTTACTCTTTTTTTTTTTTAAGAGAGAGTGAGAGAGGAGAGAGAGAGATAGAGAGAATTTTTTTTTAATATTTATTTTTCAGTTCTCGGCGGACACAACATCTTTGTTGGTATGTGGTGCTGAGGATCGAACCCGGGCCGCACGCATGCCAAGCGAGCGCGCTACCGCTTGAGCCACATCCCCAGCCCACTTTCTTTTGAAAGACTTTGTGTCATTGATCTCAGCAAAGAAACCAATTAACCTGTAGTTAAAGACAGATGCTATGGCCTCTTCTTCTGGATGAATGTGTTTTGTAGGAGAGGTGGTTTTTATTATGTGTCTTGACATCAACAAAATGATCTAATTTAAAAATATTTGTTAAATCCATGGCTGGTGTCTGTGGCCATCTCTGTTGCCAAATGTTTCTTCAAGAGGAACCAGAGGTTTCTGGCCTGGGGCTTGGTGGGCCTGGCATGGGTCCACATTTTAGTGTACTACTGCCTGTTTTCTTGGGCTTAAAAATAATTAAATAAAATGGAATCAGTTTGCATGGTGAATTGGATATGGAATAGCAGTATAGAATAAAAACCATTTTGTTGGCAAATTCCAGGCCTGTCCTGAGAGACAAGACTATATTTGAATTTGGTTGATCCAACAGGGGCAGGGGTTGCTTGTTTACACACAGGAGGTCTTTTGTTATCAGGCTATGAATTAGAGATTAGAAGGGTGACCAGACCTTGTTGTTTACCAGTGCCAGTTTATTCCTGCTGACCTCTCTTAGTGATCAAAAGTGCACCCCTTTCACTCATTTATGGTAAATTATATGATCACCCTAAGAATTAAGGAATCCTGACCATCTTCTTCATTACCCCTCTCCTGATCCCAGGTTTTGAGTCTTGCCTCATTTCAGTCTTTTATTTGTGAAATGCAAAGAGAGACAATCGGAAAAATTTAAACTGGAAGAAATGCATAAGGAAAAAAGAAGTTGTAGGGAAGGCAGGAGAATGAGATAATTGCTTATCATCAATTTATACATATAGGAAATAAAATAGTTTTATTCTTAAGTCATTGTCTATTGTGGCGATAAGCCCATGTTATTATTGTCTCCAAGCACAATTAAAAGTAGCTCTTGTCCTTTTATTTGGGGCTGACACAAATGAGGACAACTCCTGTGATTCAGGAGAGCAGTTTCTACAAAACCTGTTTGCAGACCAAATGGTTATGTGGCACCTGCAAATATGAATGCAGGTTTCACGATCCAGTGTTTGGTACGGTTCTTGGATAGTTACTGAGTGTCCAGAACACAATTGTTGTTGTGAAGACTTGATTCCACGTTCTCTTAGTTTGCAAGCTCTCTGGGCCATGAGGATAATAGAGGGCTTTTGTTTTCTGTACTGTCTTCCTCCAGTTGAATTTGGGTTTCAACTTTTCCACCAGTCGTGTTGCAGAGAAGGAGAATTGGTGTGTCTGTTCACACATGAAGATTTTCTAAGGGGTTTTCTGCAGGTGAGGATTTGGGTTCTATACCAAAGCTAGATATCTGAAGCTTGTGACACTTGCCTCTGCAATGGTAGCTGTGCTCCTTTGCTAAACAATTGCCCGTTTGTAATAGTTCACTTGCATTACTGTTCTGCAGGTGTTACAATTAATTATGGCTGTCACTTTTGCAGCATTCAGTCCACTAAAGTCCTCAAAAGCTTGGTCAGCATGACTGAAAGAGAAGAAATTATGTATCTCCTTTATAAGTAGGATGACTATATAATTTTTTTGTCCAGTCAAGGACATTTTTGAAAGTGAAATGATTATAACTGGAAGGGTTACCATATCAACTATTCCAGGAAAACTACCATGTTTTGTCATCCCATGACCCAAATCATTAGTTTTTGTGAAGACTATTCACATGATGGAAAAATGTGCTTAGTTTCTTCTGGATTTGTTCACCTTACATGCACACACACACACATGCACTCACACACACACACACACACACACACACGAGTGCACAGGCAAACAATGATCATGTATCTACGATATGTGTATTGTGTCATTGATATAACCATGTAAGGTGTAGTCATTAGAAAATTGTGGCCTTCATCATCTGTTCATGGATTTACTTTTTAACCTAATTCTCTGCATCTAGCTTCTCCAAACTTTTAATCATCCCCCTGTCCTTGTCTAGTTTTAGCATGGTTCTTCTTTAATTCTCTTGCTTAAAAACCTTTGAAGGCTATGATTTTCTCTTTATTTCTCGAAGATTGATAGGCAGGATAATGGTTAGAAAGGAAT